TTGTCTTTATTTTTTTTCCTTCAAGTCTGAGCTTCCAGATTGGGATATATTTCCTCATTCATTTCTTCCGCTCCATTTCTGGCTTGACAAGGGCCTGGTTACGCGGCGTGTAAAGAAATATCCCATGCTATTACGGCCTGCATGGCTTCCATGCCAAATACGGAATGCGTCTGGGAATGGACACTAGTGGTATACACTCTTATGATAAAAACCAGACACATGCCTGGAAGGCGATGTGTATAATGCCTAGAGGTTCAATGAGACAACTCATTATTTTGTCTAGTATTTTCATTCATTAAGTTCCCTGTGTATTTCATTTGGTTTTTTCATTAAATGGCCTAAGTGATCTCATTAATATTGTATTGTGATTTCCTGCAATATTTCATTCATTATCTCTGGATATCTCATTTTGCTTTTCATATGAAAGCCTGGTGCTTTCAATATATATTTCATTCTTAGCTCCAGGACATTTCATTGGAGTTTTCATATATATATCTGGCGCTTTCATTGGATATTTCATTGTTAGCCCCAGGATATTTCATTGTGCTTTTCATCTGAATGCCTGGCGCTTTCAATGGATATTTCATTCTTGTTCCTAGGATATTTCATTGCACTTTTCATAGATATACCTGGTGCTTTCATTGGATATTTCATTGCTAAACCCAGGATATCTCATTGTGCTTCTCATTTGGATGCCTGGCGCTTTCAATGGATATTTCATTCTTATTCCTAGGAGATTTCATTGCACTTTTCATATGTGTACCTGGCGCTTTCAATGAATATTTCATTTTTAGTGGCAGCTGACCTTTCAGGGTCCAGGGTGCATTTCCAAATGTAAAATGGCAATAAAATCAGGAAAAATTAGGGCTCATTGCTGATCATCATGTTGTAACATTGTCAGGGTCCAGGGTCCAGTTCCAAATATGGTAATATATCCAAAAATAGCGGAAATATTGAATATATATATAAATGGTGTACAGAACATCAGGCACTGCCTTCAGGGTCCACTTCAGGTTCCATCCCAAAAGGGAAATATCACCTGGTTTGACCAAAAAGTGAAGAAAACCAACTGGAGAATGATTTTACCTATCAGGGTCCATGTAATGGGATGTTGGGATGATGGTCACATGACCAATTACCAAAAATGGTCAAAAAACAAAAGTTGTAGCCCTACACTGTAGCTTCCTGAATCTGTTCGAATTATGTTCTGAAGTGCTCCCGTTGTGGAGATATGAGGTAAAGGAATCCCAAAAGTGTCGTGTTTTTTTTTTTGTTTTTGCA